TACCTTTAGTATTTTAAAGCCACTTTAAAGTTATCAGGTATGGAACAATTACATTAAAATAGAAAAATCATAATAATGTAGTGTTCAGCACGTGCCAGTCACTTTGTTAAGCACTTTACAATCATTATATCATTTTGATTTTGCAACAACAACCATTATTATTTTTCTCTTTACAAATCAGGAAACTGGGGCTAACAGAGATAAAATAACTTGCCATAAATTACACAGCTAATACATTTCTGTAACAAGGACAGAGAAGGGTGGACTTACCAAGGGCAGAAGCTGGCTTGCTCCCCACCTCATATTGCCACACTAGGTGCTGCCAGGGACACCCAGACTCCCCCAGCTGGCAGCTGGGCAAGGTATACTGAGGGCCCCTAGGCTGACTGATTAGGGTTTGGGGGTTGCAGCAGAGGGCACTCCCTAGGGGTTGGGGAGGCTGGTGCCAGGACCTTCCCATTGGTGGTAGTTCCTGTTGGTAGGGCTCAGGGAATACTAACTATAAGGCCTGACACCCCACACACATGCAACTGTCGGGGGTGGGGTTGGGGAGTTGCTGAGGTAGGATGTATGGGGCCTCACTGTGGCTACTGCCCCACCTTCCACCAGGTGGGACAGACTGTAATTCATGTTTCGCTACAATTCTCCAGCATTCTCTTTTCTTAATCTGATCTGAGATGAGAGAGGTTAACAGAGGGGCATAGGCTGTAATGGTAGAAATACCCACAACTGAGATATACCCATGATTGAGGGGAAGGCAGTGGGGCATGCCAAGTGACTGGGGTTGTAGGGAAGGTCCCTCAACACTTTCTGGGATGTTTTTCTCCTTTTTCAGTATCTACCCTAGCCTTTATTTAAAGGGGACCATATTTTCCTTTTTTAATGGTGCAGGACTCAAAAGCAAAATAGGAAGTCAAGAAAGTGTTAAGAGGTTCTTATTTTCTTATTTTTTTTTCAGGCTATTTCTTGGATTTCTGCCAACTAGCTTACCTTCACTGCCCTAGAACAATGAAACTATTAATCTTGCCAATTACTTTTAAAAACTTTTATAAGATTTAATCATTTTTCCTTAAAATAAACTCCACAGAGTAGTACCTTAAAACTTAATCAAATATTTCAGAAGGGGGTGAGTTCCTGGAATTACCCCAAAGTCTCAGGAGTTTTCTACCGCAGTCTAAAAAGGATTCATTTCAAGCCCCTTAATGATTAATTTGAAAACTTCCAGAATCTGCCAAGATGTTTTTAGCAGTTCTACAACCTTAATTATCTAACTTTATTTCTGTGCTCCCAACTTGGGAGTGTTGGGACCACAGAGAAAAAAAATGTCTTGGGGGCAGCTATGTGGCCCAGTGAATAGAGCTCTAGCCTTGGAGTCAAGAGGAACTGAGTTCAAATTCAGCCTCAGACACTTAACACTTACTAGCTGTGTGACCCTGGGCAAGTCACTTAACCCTAACTGCCTCACCAAAAAAAAAAAGAGGAAAAAAAAATCTTATCAGCTTTCCCTCTTTTTTTATAACCAATATCCCACGGAAAGCCTAAGGTGAGAGTTAGTAAAGTTAATAACTCTTTCCCAGTGCTCTCTCTAACTACAACCCTTAGAAATTTTTCTTGCTGGCTGCATTGTTTAACTCTTTCAAGATAACAGAATATTGCTTACAGCATAAACCAGACAGAGACATTCTGAATTTTACAAAGACACAGACAAGACAGATACAAATAAAAAAAGAGAGAGAGAAGCATGCAGTATACAGCCAGACATGCAATTTAAAAAGAAGAGCTTAAACTGTGAGGCACACAGAAAAAGGAAAAAAGTATGCCCCACCAGTACACAGTTAATTTCGACTGCTTCCAGATACACACAAAACCAAACATGTCAGAAATTCTTACACAAATAAAATTGACATGTGGAGCAAATATTTTTTTTTTAATTTTTAATTAAAAAAAAACAGACACACACAAAAAGTTAGCCGATCCATGTGCAAACAGGCCTTACCAGAATGATCCAGGTCACATAAAGGGCCCTGGAACATTCCTCACAAGGAAAAGCCAAGCTGAATCAAGGGTGAGCTGGAGGATTTGAGCAGGAAAGGGCAGTGGACTCACCAGATGAGAGGGGTCAGACTTCAGAGAAATAAATCTCCAGTGGCACCTAGTCCAACCACACTGGTACCAGAAGGTCCATTTGGCCCTGTTCAATATCAAATCCCACTTCTGACACCAATTAATGTCAACTGGATCAGAACCAGAGCCAAACAAACAGAGCAGGCTAGAGACAAGAGAATCAGGACACAAACAGAAGTTTAATTAATTTCAGAGTAAGAAAATGATATATGCAAATGGAAGCCGCCCCTCCTAAGAAGTTGAGGCTGCTAAGGCTAAGGCCACTTACATACATGAAAGGGGTCATCCACAAGACAATCATTGTCGGATCTTGACATAGTTCAAATGGTTGGCATTTCTTGGGACAATATGGGCATTCTTAAGTCCTATAGGAATAATCGTTGTCTTGGGAGTTGTGGCCCCCTGCCAGGTATAGAACTAGAGCTCTGTGACAGGAACAGGAGTACAGTGTTTGTTGATAATTGTGAACACGTGACAGATGGCCCTGGGAAACAGGAGCTAAATCCGTCTGTGAACACCTGATGCTGGTCCAAGCAATATGCTTTGCCAGAGGGTAATATCATCCTGAGCACAAAGGATTATTGTTACACCAAGCACAGAGCAGAGCCTCCTTGTTAGGTCTTAGCACTGAAAAACAGGGTATCTCCAAAACATTTTGATAAAAGGCATAGTTTACCATCCATCTGTGCATTCTTGTCCTATGCAATTTCTCCTGTTTACTCCCATAAATCCTCCACCAACTTTGGTAAGACCCAATCTTGGATTATGTCCACTATTCTTTATTTCACCTGCTATTCATGTGCTGCTAAATGGTGCTGTAGAAATGATGAAAGTGCTTACTGGGTCCACCACAAATCTTTGCTAGCTAGTTTCAGCTGAGCACTCACTATGGCAAGGCAATCCTCCCGAATTAATTCACTCTAGCCACCGCAGTGACTATTCCAAACTGTTTCTTGTCTTCTCAAACCTTTGTCTCCTATTCCACTGGAAAATTCAAAGCATTCGCCAAAAGTTCTCTCTTCTCCCTTCCTTCTCATCTCACAACACTCAGATGTCTTCTCCCACTATCTCCTCCTCATCACTTCTCTTGCCGAATCAAACTTCAATAAATGTGCCCTTAACCCCATTGCACCCCATCTTCTTCAGCAGTTTGCCCCCCTGCCATCCTCATTCTGTTACTAATCATCAGTCTTTCCCCAACTACTGATGACAAACATGCCCGTTACCCTTATCCTTAAAAAAACCTCACTTCTTCCTATTAATCCCACTACATATTGTCCTAGATCATTCCTACCTTTTATTGCTAAATTCCTTGAAAAAAGCCATTTATAATCCCATTAGAGTAGCCATAATGGTTTAGTATCAACTTAGAAGGAGGTCTCTTTTGGAATGAACCAGGCATCTGAGCTATTTAAGCATTTTAGCTTGAATGAAGGTATAAATGGCATACTTATAAGATTTTCAGATGACACAACAGTAGGATTGATAGATAACACACAGAATAACAGATTGAGGATGCTAAAAGATAAGCTAGAACACTGAGCTTCAGTCCCATTTTTTTTTTCATTTAATAAGCATAGATGTAAAGTCTTACAGTTGAGTTTAAAAAGTCCATTTCAGAAGTACAAGATGGAGGAAACAAAGCTAGAAAGTAATGTGTATGAAAAAGATCTGGGGGCTTCAATGGACCCAAAGTTCAATATGATTCAAACAATGTGTACAGAAGCTGAAAAATCTAATTCAATCTTAGGCTACAATAAGAGAGTCAGAGTACCCATGATCATGGAAATGAAGTGAGAGTACTCTGCCCTGGTCTGAGCATGTTTGGAATAATATGGTCAGCTTTGGGTGCCTTACTTCAGGAATGGCACTGATAACTTGAAAAGCAACAGGGGAGGAGAATCAGCATTGTAAAAGTCCTTGAATTCACGTCATGTGAGGATCAGTGGAAGGGATTGGGGATACTTAGCCTGGCTAAGAAAAGATTTGGGGGAAATAGCAGGAGAGTTGATTTTAGGTGTTCGAAGAGATTTCCCAAGAAAGAGAAATTAGACTCATTCTGTTTGCCTCCAAACTGTGTGTTCTGACTATAAAGGGTAAGCATGTTGGTGGGGTCCATATGCTATACTTTTAGGTACTTCCTTGTACTTTCAGTCATTCAACAAGCATTTATTAAGCACTTAGTCTAAGGTCAGGAAGGGCAGCTAGAGAATGAAGCAGATAGACCGCTAGAGTCAGGAAGACTTGAGTTCAAATCTAACCACAGACACTTATTAACTGTATGACCCTGAGCAAGTCCCTTAACCCTGTTTGCCTCAGTTTTCTCATCTGTAACATAAGCTCAAGAAGGAAATAGCAAACCACTCCAGTACTTTTGCCTAAATGGGGTTATGAAGAATCAGACATGCCTAAACAACAACAATGTCGGGGTGGAGTGTGTAACCTGTTTTATGCATTAGGTCAGATCTGTCTGATCAAGCTAAAAGTGTCAACCAATGGGCTGGAGAAAATACAGTAAATTCACCAGAACCAAAACAGAATATGTTCAATTTTCAAATAGTAGTTTTGTTGGTTCTCTTTAGAACCATATACTTTCCCAGCCTGCTGCTTCTGATTCCCCAGTTTTACAAACAAACATTCTAATATACATAGAAGAAAGAGGATTATATGTGAGAAATTTTGAACTTCTGTTGTTACAAGGGGGGTTAAATATATTATAGAAGTTTACACTATACTGGGTTTCAGTGAACTGCTGATATTATCGGAAGAAAATATTCTGCTGTATTTGATGTCATTTAATTGTCATGCAGTTATATCTTCAGGGATTTGTGGCTCAGATAATCACATTCTAGAAGGAAAAAGCAAGACACCTTTACCTGCAATTTTGGGACATGAAGGAGCTGGAGTAGTAGAAAGCATTGGAGAAGGCGTGACCAGTGTGAAACCAGGTGAAGATGGAGTCCAAAATGGTGTTTGATGTCAGAAACTTCTCCTTTCTATCCCTCTACAAAAAAATTATCACACTTTCTACAAAAAGGAAGGAGATTTTAAAGTAGATTAACATATGTATAAATAGATTATAAGATTCAAAACTGGAAAAAACTTAGAGAGAAGGTTATTAGATTGCCAAGTCCTCTGTTAGATTATAAACCTTTGGACCTAAGAAGGAAGACATTATCTTATCCACTCTCAGAGAAACAATGGAGAAACAAGTCTAGTATGGTCTTGCATAGATGCACACCAATGTATATGTCTATACATAAGTGTGATTATAGTATCTAAGTATATGTATATGTATATATATGTGTGTGTGTTTCATGCGTAAGTATGTATATATGCATGTGTGTACATATACATATATGATGTGTGTGTATACAGGTATATATGTATGTGTATGTGTGTATCTTCCACTGGTATAAGATGAGAATTCAATCTGCTCAGTTGGTCTCTCATTAGAAGGCAACACCAGGTATTTACCAAGACCACCACCTGTAAACATGGTTTTGCTCCTTGAAAATGATCCTCCCCAAGGGAAGAAAAGGTATAGTATTCAGAAAGAGACACTGACAAGTAGCATTAAATGCTGCAGACAAGTCAAGAAAGATGAAGTCTAAGAACACACCATTGGATTTGACTAGTAAGGGGACAATTCAGGGGAGGGCAGGTTCAGCTGAGTGATGAGTGTGGGAGCCGAATTGTAAGGGACTGAAAAGTGAGCAATATAGAAAGGAAGTAGAGGCAAAGAATATAAACAACTTTTGAGTTTGTCTGTAAAACGGAGGAAAGGGTAAAGAAGGATGGTTTGAGGAGATGGTAGAGTCAAGTAAGGGCTTATTAAAGATGAAGGAGATCTAGCTGTGTTTAGTAAAGAAATAAGCCAGTTGATGAGTAAAGACCAGAGATTAGAGAGTGAGGGTCTAGGAGTGATTTTAAGGTAAGGCAATCAGAGGACACAGGACTGAATAAAGTGAAGGGTACAAGTAGGGGGGTTACAAGAAGATCACCTCAATTTTTTAACTTTTAAATTTTCTTTTTATTCTAAATTTAACAATATCAATAAACACAAATATGTTGATAAACAAATAAGAACAAAAAAGAGGATTGTATAAGACACTAAACATATGTTAGATATAATTCTCTTTTTAAAGCTTATTCACAAGTAGCCGAAAAGAGGGTGATCAAAGCCTCTAGCTTGAAAGTTTTTCAGGGAGGGTAAGACACAAGTATTATCATCATTCTTGAGCATGCAGTGGCTTTGAAAGGCTTAAAAAGCCAGAAATTGATGTCCATAAAGCCAACTATTCTATTACATTCATACAGTCATTCACATGGCCCAGGTCAAGAGGAAAATTGCTTCATTCTAGCAAAGCCCATTTGCATTGTTAATGCTAGTTATGTGACAAGCTTTCATTCCAACTTTGTGAGTTATTTTTTATGAAATCCAATGTACATAATGTGCTGAATTATCTCCACATTTTATTTTGATGATATAAAATTTTTCGCGCTCTACTCATAGTGATAATGATTTTCTTCTGTTTTCCTCCCTTAGGAGATAAAGTCTTAACGCTCCCTATACCACAATGCCGAAAATGTGATTCCTGTTTGCATGCCAAGGGCAACTGTTGCCTGAAGGAAGAGTAAGTGCTTTCCTATCACTAATTCTGCTTATGTCTTTACCCAGAGCTGATGGATCTCATGTCTCTGTGTGTGGATCTCTGTCTGTCTGTCTCCATGGACTAGCGCCATTTCTCCTGTTGGACTGATGCTTGATGGTACCACCAGATTTACATGCAGAGGGAGGAAAGTGCATAACTTATTTAGAACAAGCACATTGACTGAATACACCGTGATGCATGAGATATCAGTGGCAAAAATTGATGATGCTGCACCCCTGGAGAAAGTCTGCGTATTAGCCTGTGGATTCCCCACAGGCTATGGAGCTGCTGTTAACACAGCACAGGTGAGAATGTGTAGACAAGCAGTCTGGTGAATGAGGCTTTCCCTAATCGATGCCAAGACATACCTGAACCAATCAAAATGGTCGAGCAAGTAGCCTTGTAAAGACTCGGGCAGACAGCGAAGCAGCTTTTTTCTGTTCTGATGATGCAGGCACGCTCAGCACCTAAATCTCACGAGGAATTTTGTACTCTTCATGCACAGGTTACCCCCGGTTCCACCTGTGTGGTCTTCGGGCTTGGAGATGTTCGCTCTGCAGTTGTTCTGGGGTGCAGAGCAGCCGGTGCTGCCAGGATCATTGGCATTGACATCAATGAAGGGAAATTGGCCAGGGCTAAAGCTCTTGGGGTCACTGATTGCCTTAATCCTCGAAACTTCACGAAGCCCATCCAGCAGGTGGTGGTGGAAATGACTGGGCTCGGTGCTGACTTTACCTTTGAGGCTATTGGCACTATCGAGACGACGGTATGTTATCTGTGGGCACAGACAGAAGGTGTTTTACGTCAGCAAGTAGCCACATATTAAACTAGTTTAACTTTACCAAAAAGAACTTAAAAGAAAAAAAATAAGTAACGCACATGGAAAGTTACCTTACCTTCAGTGTTCTGTGTGAATGGAATGTTTTTAAATCATTGTAGCCATGCACTGTATCCACTGATACAGCATTACACTATACACAGATGCAATGTAAGGAGGACCTCAAAAGGAGGAAGAGCATAGACCTCCAGCCTCTTCCCCCTCCCCCAAATGAGAGGTATAATCCCTTTTCCCCTCTGCACACCCTCAGTCTCTGTGGAGGGCAAGAGGATTAGTTCATAGCTTAATTCAGTTCCCAGAGAGCAAAGTCCCAGTTCTAAGTTCAAAACCCCACTAAGGCTTGAGTCCCAGGCACCCTCGTTTGTCAGAATTTACACGCTTGGCTGACTGGATGCATTACCTCACCTGCTATCCTGGCTCCAAGGTCACCATGGCTCACTTTCAGTTCCATGAGGTTCACCCCTAGCACCTAAAACTGATAACAAACAACAGAACAGAAGCAAACACCACCAGGGTCAAAGAGAGGAAATAGGGGAAGGACTTGCCTTTCCTTCTTACCAATTCAGTTTATGACATCCATGTTGGGCACAAAACATAAGGGTAACTGAAAAGAGTGTAAATGATAAGATGGTGCAAAAGAGAGGGAACATCTCTGTCTCACCAGTTTTAGACATAGACAACCAATCAATGGAAGGCAAACTGGGCATGCTCAAACAGCCTGGACTACAACAAATCTCTCTCTCTCTCTCTCTCTCTCTCTCTCTCTCTCTCTCTCTCTCTCTCTCTCTCTCTCTCTCTCTCTCCCTCTCTCTTGCTTTCACTCTCTCTCTCTTTCTCTCTCTTCTTCCCTCCCTCCCTTCCTTCCTCCTTTCCCTACTCCTCTCCTCTTCCCTCTCATATTGTCTGTCTCTGCTTCTATCTCTCTTTATGTCTTTATTTCTCTGTCTTTCACACTCCCTCATGTTCTTTCTCTCATGTTCTCTGTCTCTGTCCCTGTCCCTGTGTTTATCATGTCTTCTCTCTCTCTCTCTCTCTCTCTCTCTCTCTCTCTCTCTCTCTCTCTCTCTCTCTCTCTCTCTCTCTCTCTCTCTCTCCCCCTTTCTCATGTTCTTTTATTTTCTTCTCTATTTCCCTCACTATCACTTTTTCTCTCTGTAAGTCTCCATATCTTGGCTTCTCTTTCCCTCTCTTCCTGATCCCTACTCTTGAGAGCAAGAAATGTAACAGAAGAAAGAAGGAAAGAATACTAAAGGGATGGGAATAGAGAGATGTGAAATGGAGAAAGAAACCAAACAGGCAAATGGAAAAAGTAGTAGAGGGAAGGAAGAGAAGTAGAAGAAAGGGTAAAGAGGGGATAGACATGAGAGGCATAAACTACAATAAATATTACATCATATGCTTCAAGCAAATTAGGATACAGAAAAATGAAGATATATTCTATTTAAAGACATTTTCTTCAGAATAATTAGAATGAGGGATAAAGCACAGGAGAAGGGAAGGAAGGTGACAGGGGATGGCCCAAGACAAACTACCTCATTTGACACATTACCCCAATCAAGAAATGGGAGTTTATGATCCACTCTAACTCAGGTGGCTCAAATGAATATGACCTATACTTAAACTAGGCATTAATTCTTCTGGTTCTCATGGTAGTGAACTTCACAATGAAACTCTATATGACCCGGAAATATGACTGAAAGACTCATGATTGTATTGTGAACCCTAGGTTGCTGCTCTGGAATCCTGTAACCTGAGTTATGGGGTCTGTGTTATTATTGGAGTATCACCAACAGGTTCTCAGCTCTCTTTTGATCCAATGAAGCTAGTGTCTGGCCGGACCCTGAAAGGGTGCTTATTAGGAGGTAGGAAGAAATGACAGGTATCTTAATTCTAACAAATCTTTTTGAATTTTCCAGAAACATTGGGACATAGAGATATAGTAGCTAACGTTTATAGAGTAAGAGACAGGAATGAAGTTAATCAACAGATTAGTCAAATAATAAGCATTTATTAAGCATCTACTATGTACCAGGTATGTACTAGGTACTTGTACAGAGAAAGCTAAAAGTATTTCTATTCCCTTTCTAAAGGTGGGGGTGTACTGGAACCAGATCAAGCCAGCTCACAAAAGCTCATTCTTAAATTTTCGATGTAAACACTTATACCTCTGAAATTGACAAATGTTACAAATCAAGACTTGACTTATTGCTTTATTTATCGTCTAGACTTAAGAAACTGGTGGATAAAATGTTAAATATGCAAATTAAACTTAAGATTGCATCTTATGTACATTTTTTGGAGAGTCAGTTATTAAACATTTATGAGCATATCCCTGACTAAAGGGTATTATTATAGCTATAGTAACAGATTTGTTAATATTGATTCACATTGGATGTAACTTAAAACTGGTCATCATTGGGGGAAGCTAGGTGGCGCAGTGCATAGAGCAACAGCCCTGAAGTCAGGAGTACCTGAGTTCAAATCCAGTCTCAGACCAAACACTTGACACTTACAAGCTGTGTGACCCTGGGCAAGTCACTTAACCCCAATTGCCTAAAAACAAACAAAACAAAACAAAACAAAAAAACTGGTCATTGTCATCCCAGACTGTTATCATTAAATAAATCAACCCAAAGCATTTATTCCAAAAGACAAAGGAGTTAGGATTATAACCCAGAATAATCTACCCATCAAAACTGAATGTAATTCTTCAGAGGAAAAAAGTGATATTTAATGAAAGAGGAATTCTAAGCATTCCTGGTGAAAAGTCCAGACATTTGACATTCAAACACAGGACTCAAAAGAAGCATGAAAAGGGAAACAGGGAAGCAAAATCATTAAGGAAGATTACAAAAATTTCAACAGGAGGAAGGAATGATAAGGACTTTCTAGTCATATAGAAAAAAAGACATGGGGGTAAGAAAATACAGTATGAAAAGAGAGGACAGTGAGGGGTCCAGTTTGGCTGCAGACTGGATATATAGGAGTGATGGGACAGTAGATAGAGCACTGGAGTCAGAAGCAAGACAACCTGAGTACAAATCCTGCCTCAGACATTTCTGAACTATGTGACCCTGGGCAAGTCATTAACTTCTTTGGGCCTCAGTTTCTTCATCTGTAAAATGAGAAGATTGGACTCGACATGTCTGCTCAGATCTCAAATCTACCATCCTATAATTTATGATCTTAAGTAATGAGAAGTAAACCCAGAACTGTGTAGGGCCTTGAATGACCTGCTCAAACATTTGATCTTTATTTAACATAAATAGGTAACAGGAAGCCATTCAAAGTCTCTGAGAAGAGGAGTAAAATGAACATTCATAGGAATATGAATAGAAAACCATGACCAGGAGACCCATGCACTCCATCTACTGTTTCTCCTAGGCAATCAATTAGCTTCTTATGTTGTCTAGAGAAGATGAGAGGAAGACTCTTACAATGCTGTCAACTGATATGCGATGGATGTTTCTGTGTTCATTGCTTGAATGGTACATTGCAATTTACCTGATTCATTGAGTTGACCTCCTTGTTCAAGCACCATCATTGTCTATTTTTTTTTCTTTCACAGAGTATAAAACCAGAGACCAAATTCCTTTATTAGTGGATGATTACATGAAAAAGAAAATCGATGTGAACTCACTGATAACCCACAGCCTGCCTTTCGTCAAAATTAATGAAGGGTTTGAACTTCTCCGGTCAGGAAGATGGTGAGAGCTTTGCTTGGTCATCTTTGTGTCTGATATTTACATGGAGAAAAATATCACAGTGAAAATGAGGTATCCTATCTCACAAAAGCCTAAATGAGTTAGAAATAGATGGAGAAGGTGGCCCTGAGGAAGGAATCAGGCAATGTGGCATCCACCACCAACGTCACTACTCCTTAGCCGTGTGATGTAACAAAGCCTGTCCTTTCATCTCTCTGTACCTCAGTTTCATCATTTAATATAAAGTGGACATAATAATACCTATCTGACCTACTTCAGAAGGTTCTTGAGAAGATCAAATGAGTAATTAAAATTAAAACTTGAAATTAAACATGCTATTTAAGTCTCTAGTCCTATTAATATTGATGTTACAAGTCTAAAAGTATAAGTACACACATTTAAAATTGCAATTTAGATATGTTAAAGTGTGCAGTGTTAGGATTCTCTCAGTTCTGAAATTATTTGCAGGCTGTTTGCAGAGAGAAGAGGTTGGAAAGCTAGGGTGACACTAGATTATGAAAGATCTTAAATGCCAGGCAGAGAAGTGTGAACTTTATTCAGTAGGCAATAGTGAGCCAAAGATTTATGAGGAGTTAAGTGAGCAGACTTACGTATCACTCAGGAGGCTTATTGGAGAGTGGATTGGATGGAGAAGTGAATCTTGATTCCTGCCTGAATTCCCTGGGTTCATATTCAAAGAAGAGTTTTTGTTGCACCTTTTCTGAAATGTGCTGGGACTTGTTCAATCCTACATACTTGGATGAAGGATAGGTAGGCTGTCCAGAAGAGGTGAGATGGAGCACATTCCAGGCAGAGGGAATCCTATTTTACCTTTTGGAAAGAACTGTGGCCCTATCTTGAGAACTCTTTTCTCCAAATCTTATGCAGTCCCATCTAGTCATTATTTTATGCAAAGGACCTACAGCATCCATGGAAAGCCTTCCTGCGGGCTACATAGGTTTACCAAAATCAGTTGACATCCATGTTATTGAGTTTATGGCTAAGCCATGGTGATGGCTTCCATCCCAATGGAAGCAAGCTATTTTTTTTTGGTCCAGGTCTACTGATTTCATCATTGTAGGGAATCCCTAGAGTGGCACAGACACGCAGCTTACTGACTCATCAGTAACTTATATTGTGTTGCTTAGGCCACTGAGTGGTTAGTTAAATGGTTTGCCCACGATCACATAGCTAGAATGTGTCCAAGGCAGCAAAGAATCCTTTAATCTCAGAGGGAAGGCATTAGGATTAAGGGCATCCCAGAAAGGCTTCTTTCAGACAGTGAGATTTTAGCTGGGAATTTTAACTTGAAGGGAGCCAGGGAAGCCAGGAGGAAGAGGTGAGAAAAGAGAACTCCAGAGTTGGAGGACAACCAGTGAAAAATCATAGCATTGGGAGATGGGACAACACAGAAGCCAGAGTTTCTGGACTATAGACTATGGGACTTCTGGACTATGGGAGGGAACACAGTATAAGAAGACTAGCAAGGTAGGAAGGGGACAGGTTATGTAATCCTTTAAATGCCAGAGGATTTTCCATTTGATCCTAGAGGTGACAGGATGCCATTAGGGTTTATTGAATAGAGAATTGATATGATCAGACCTGCATTTTGTGAATATCACTTTGATAGCTGAAAGGAGAATGGACCAGTGTGGGAAAATACTGGATGAAGGCAGGTCAACCAGAGGCTATTGCAACAGTCCAGGCAAGAGGTGATGAGGGCAGGAATATACAAGAAGTGTCACAAAGGTAGAATTGACAGGACTTGGCAACAGATTGGATGGAGGAGGTTGATGGGAGGGAGAGGAGGCAAGGGTGATGTCTACACATACAAGCCTGGGAAACCAAAAGGATGATGGTATCCTCAACAGTAATAGAGAAGTTGGGAAGAGCAGCGGAATTTGGAAGGAAAGATACTGAGTTCAGTTTGGGATGTGTTAAAATGCTCAGGATATCCACTTTGAAGTGTCCAATAGGCAATTGGAGATTCAAGACTGGAGGTGTAAAAATAGGGTAGGACTGGAGAAGAAGATATGAGAATCATCAGCTTAGAGCCAATGACTTGAACTCAGATCTTTCGGACTCCAAGATCTGCCCTCAAGCCACTGCATTATACTGCTTCTTATGCACTAACTGGAATCTTAATATTTCAAACCTCTGATATCATATAGTCTAATTCCTTTATTTTACGTGAAGTAGGTAGTGAGTTGTAATAGAAAAAGTGTTGAAGTGAGAAATAGAAGATTTGGGTTCAAACCCTGGCTTAAACATTTCCTGGCTATGTGATGTGGACAAGTCATTATAATGCCTCTGGGCCTCAATTACATCATCACTAAAATGGGGAAAATATAACATTCTATCAAAGAAAGAAAATGCTTTGAAAATGTAAATATAAACAATTACAAATGTAAATGTAAACAACTGGTTTTGCACTTCTGTGTTTCAGCATTCGCTGTGTCCTCATGTTTTGAGATCCTAGTGGATGAAATGGGAATGGAAATCCAAGGAGACATCCTTCCTTGCTACAGTGTCATGGTCTTGGGGCCTTCAGATAGATCAGGACTGTGGTTGGAAACGTGGTACTTCCTAGAACAGTAGGAAATGGAATAAACTACTTCCAAATATTATGCCATTAAAAGATATTTGTTTTAAATCTGTATGTAAAGTTCACTCATGGATTAAAAGAGAAAAAACATGAAAGTTCAGTTCTAGATCAGTTGGATATTCTTTCTGTCTAATTATATCAACATAGGTTGATACTCTCCTATAAAGAAAGGTTCCAACCAATTTAAAAATACTAAGGCCCATCCTTAAGTTAGTGTGAACTCTGAGCTATCTCACAAGGACTACACTTGCATTTTCAGATTCTGACTGGGGTAATTTTAAGCCCAAAGCAAAGCTTTTGTTCCTCATCCTTATGCTGAGGAGTAACAAGTATCCTGTGCTCTTATATCAGATTGCTTACTGTCTTGGGGATTGGGGATGGAGAAAAATTTGAAATTCAAAATCTTATAGAAATGAATGCTGAAAACTATCTTTACATGTAATTGGAAAAAAAATACTATTAAGAAAAAAAAAGAAGAATCCTGTGTTTTCACTTCCCCAATGACACTTCCTGGCAGTCCAGATTCTGAGGACTTTCCAAAAGTTGCAGCTGGCTGGTCTATCTCCCCAATCTTATCCTATGAGAAGGAAGCAGAGATCTCACCTCTCTTTCCCTCTGGTATGGAGGAGTTTCTTTAAAATCCTAGCCTAGTTACTCCTAGTAAGATGACGCTACCTCTGCTAGCATTTCAAAAAATTTCATTTGTCAGCAAGACATTTCTGGGACAACTTGTCCACTCAGTGCTCACCTAGGCTGTGCATCTTTCCACCATCTGTCACAGGGTGGGACTTCACCACTGCCATGACATTCCAGCTCCCACCTTTGTACAGGCTTTCCCCCATTTCCTCCATAGTATTGGTTCTTAGAATCCCTTGTTCCCTTCAAGGCTCACTTCAAACAGCATCACCTTCTAGAAGCCTTTTCTCATTACCCTATTTGCTAGTGCCCACCCCCCACTCCATCAATGTGCACTTATTCTGCATATATTCAGTATTTCCTTATCTTTGAATAGGTTGGTATCCCAAAGCTAAATACAAAGTTGCTTGAGAACAGAACTATCTCATTTTTACAATTCGTATGTTCAGGGGCCCATCACAGTGCCTCAGCACTTTCTAAATGATGATTGGCTGATTATTTTTAGGACAAAAAATAATCCTTGAAGAGTTCATAAAGTGTTCAAAGAATCATGGTGGGAGAACCAATCT